AGTCCAAATTGAGAGAATTAGCAATTTCGTTGACAAGTGGACGAACGGCCTTCTGATAACTATCCATTTGGTCACGCAAGCTCAATAACTCGTCATCAAATTCAGGCTTCATGAGATACTCGTGGTTTTTGATGGCATCCAAATCAATTGTAGTTTCGACGAGTTCACCAAATTTCTCAAGGTTCTGATTACACTCTTTTAGGATCTTGAAATGAGTCTGAAGAGAATTCTCATAGCCAGGATGATTAGACAAGAAAACTTCCATGCATTCTTCCAGCTTCTTCAAGTTGATGAAATAATCATACAACAGCGTGATGTCTTTCAACAAGTTTCTTTTTGATTTTCCAGCATTCAGAAGTCTCTTAAGCACATAAGAAACATCGCCCATGCTTTTAAATACATTCTTTTGAATTTCATACATAAACTGAGGATTCTCGACAAACATTTCGACCATGCTCTGTCTTTTCAGAAGTTCATCATAATTCAACGACGGCTGTCTTATCCAACACTCAAGCAGTCTTGATCCTTGCTTTGTGCGGCATTTGTTTAGTATTCCAAATAAAGAAGATGTCTGTGGAGCATTAGCACCACGAGGGAATAAATCCAGCGCGAAAACTGCAGAAGAATCCAAAGACATGAAGTCTCTGATATCATAAACTTCTGGCCTCAATTTGAAGTCGCTATTTTTGTCTAAAGTGGACGCAAGAACTTCTGTAACCAACTTGTTTACAATATCATCTGAAGCAAAAGCCTTCAGAGTCTCGTTGAAAGTCTCAAGCGACTTCTTGTCCATTTCATCCAAAGAATCATCGTTAACATCACTAAAAGCAAGAAAATCCGTCAATACTGAAGATGAAGACGCCTTTTTCGTTCCGCTTTTCAGTGCCGAATACTCAGCGATGTCGCAATTGTTAACAATCGCTCTGATTTTCTTCTCGATCAGATAAGAATCATCGTTGCTCTTCACTTCATATGTAATTTCCTTAACATTAAACTGAAGTAAAAGACTTTCAAACAGAGCATCGACCTGAACGGAATGTTCCTCATCATCTTCCCTTTGCTCCAACAAACAACAGCCGATGCGACCCAAACATAAATCCACGTAAATGCTTTCAATGCGAACAATCTTTTCGCTGGCACAGTACAAAGTGCAGAACATTAAAACGGAAGATATGCTGCTTTCAGGGCAGAAACTCATAAGTTGAAACAGATTCCCAGGCGTGCCAACTTTGTCCAGCGAGTACTTTCGATTAGACCCAGAACCAGACTTGTAGATTTCGATTCTTGTGAAAGCTTTCGCTGACAGGGAATCAATAAGCGATTTAAAAGCCAACTTTGTTATTGTGAGATACGGAACATTGTCCTTCGTTTGCTTGAGAGCAGCCATCGTTTTGTAAACCAGCTTGGCAACCTTCTCGGCGTCTTCCTTCACGCATACAAAGTATTCTTCGTCGTTAGAAAGGAATAGCCTCAAAGAATTATTTGCAAAGGGCAAACTCTTGTGAAACTCGACGATTTGCGAGTGTTCCATCTTTTTCTTGTCAGAAACTCAAAATGGAAGCGTCTCTGGCTCAAGAAGAACTTCAACACAATTACAATGAATTCAAAAAGTTCTTTAAAATGCTTCAAATATGTTACTACGATGATCAGGTCAAGTTAGCAGAAGCATCAAAGGATGCTTCCATCGCGCAAGAGGTTGAGACAACGGATTATTGGGCTATTTATGAGGCAGTGTTAAAGGATTCCACTGAGGGTGAACGTATACTAATCGGTTATAGAAAGCCTGATGGTGTTCTTGTTATAATTGGGACAGAGAAGAAGTATGAATCCTTCGAGCAACTTTTGACTGAGAATAGCCAAGCGTACAAGCAGCAATTTCACGCCGCTGTTGTGACAAAATTGGAACAAATGCTTTAAACGAAACTCTGTTGTACTAAATAGATCAATTTTCCCCTTTCTTAGTATCTGCATCATGCTGTACCGTTGTCTTCTGAACGGAGTTGTTTGAATGTTGTGCATGATCTTGCATAGCTGGTGGTATGTATGCAAATTGATTCGGTAAAACCATGGGATATGTCGCTTGTTGTTGGCGTTGAAGATACGCCGCTTGAACTAAACTCATTAGTTGAGAGTTATTTAGATGCTGCTGAGGAGGCATAGGATACGAAACGAGTTGAGGCCGATAAATCATTTGAGGTTGAAGTGGATGGTAAACGTTTGGCTGAAACGCATAAGTTGGTATTTCTGTTGATTGCTTTGAGATTTTTGTGGGTGACTGATTCTGATGCTCTGGTTGTGGTGTAGGCTTAGCTGGCTTGGTTGGTTTCTTCTTTGAAGGTTCTTCTTCACAATTAGAACAGACATATTCTCCTTGAGACGTCCATTCTGGTGTGACTTCTTTGCCCTCTGCTCTCATTCGATCTTCAGTGCATGAAATGTGTTTCCAGTCCTTGCATACTTCACAACAAACCATCGGAAGGCCATCATCTAGATTTTCACCCGAAACACCACAATAGCAGTCAAACATCCAACCCTGCTGTTGCTGTTTTTTAGAGCCGCCTCGTTTCTTTTTGGATCGTTCTTGAGGTTTCCCTTTCTTCTGTTCTGTTTGCTGTGTCACCGTTTCCTCTTTTTTCTTTACTTCTTCCTCTTTGAGCCTTTTAAGTGCCGCAGCTTGTTCTCTTCTGAGTGTTCTTTCTTCGCGCTCTCTGATTTTTCGTTCCTTTTCCTCTTCTTCTCGTTTCTTTTGATTTCTTTCTCGCCTCTCCATAAATATTTCTGTCCTGGACTTAGGAATCTCATCAGGGTGTTCTTCATAGTATTCTTGTTCTTTCTTTCTAGCTTCAACTTCTTCGAAACGACTTCCTAGACGAGTAGATCGTTTCCGATTCTGTAAAGCAAACTCTAATTCTTTCTTTTTCTTCTTTTCTGTAAGAACTGGAATAACTTGTGGAGTAATGTCATTAATTAGGAATTTGTAAAACGACTTGTCCCGCGGATGAGTGCTGCTTTCAAATCGCTTAGGAAATTCTGTCCAATCTTCAAGTGTTATACAAACAGGCTTCCAGTAGCTTCCATCTTCCTCTATTATATCAGGATCAACATCAGACAATATAGCGTCTTGTTTCTGATCATCGCTGTTGTCTTGTTGACCTGCCCTTCGCCTCGTCTTGAATTTGGGCCTCTGATCTTCAGGTAAAGTCTGCCGATACATGCGATTATCATCAAAGAGCCAGTAAATATTTCCTTTGAAGTCGTAACCAATTGGATCTACTCGCCAAAGGTTTTCCTCATCCTCTGCAGATTTCATCTTGACCTTCCACCGCTCAACGTCATCAAAAGCCAATTCACAGATCTGATAAAGACACAGAAGCCTTTGCTTTCCACTCAGCTGCCAAAACGAGTCAAAGTCGGTCGTAATATCGTCCATGGTCGCCTTGTCCTGCAAGATTTTTCTCAAGAACTGTTCCCAATTATCTTTAGCAACGATTAATCCACAGCAATTCCTTAAAAGACTCATGGCGATCTGCGTCAATACCAAACTGGCTTCCGGATGTAGCAAGGCATCCTCAATGACCTCAGTATCAAGATCATCCTTGATTTTAAGCGCAGGTTCAAAAGTCAACAGAAATTGGATAAAAGCAGCGAACTGCCACATACATCTGAGTAGATAACGGTCTGATAAGTTAAGCTGAACGGCGATATGATGAAACCCAACCTCTTTCTATCGAATTAAATTCCATTTGATGGTCGCTTGACCTGAAATGTTGATCGCAAATCGAAAATGAAAGGAATCTATTTTGTTGCATTCTTCTTTTGCTTGATACTTTCACTTCCATATAATCTTTCGTTAAGTTCCTTTTGTCGCTGAGTTCTAGCTGCCTGAATCTGCGTCATAAATCCTTCCTTAAAACTGTCTTGGGCTTTTGGTGCAGATAAAACACTTTTGCCTTTTACCACGGTTCCAGTTTTAGATTCTGCAAATATTCTCCTCAATGCGAATGAAGATATCAGCGATATCACACTATTAGATGTCCAATAAACGCAAAGAGCTGCAGGAAACTGTGCCATGAACGGAACTGATGTAATTGTCATGATTCTGAATATTCGCTTCATCTGCTGAGACTGTTGACTTTGACCAAAATCGGCGCCTGTCTCGAGTGTAATTAAGAACAGGGCGGCAGTTGTTAAAGGCAAAACGTAAGTTGGATCAGCAATAGTCAAATCATTAAACCATAATGCACCACCAGTTTTCATTGATGTCAACTCCAAAGCAGTAATATCGCGCAATGCCATGAAGAAGGAAAAGAATATCGGAGCAGTAGCAAAAGGAGTCATGAGATTAGACAGCGGATTTAAGTTAACGCTCTGATAAAGCTCAATAATCTTCTTCATACATTCGATGCTTTTCTCCTGATTACCCGCGTCTCTGTGCATCTTCTGTTCTTCAGTTAATCTGAGTACATCATCTTTGATCAATTTAAGTTTAGCCTGGTTCTTGTATGCTTTCATTTGAATAGGAAACACGAGCAAAGAACGAGCGGCTAATGTGGATGCGACTATCGTTGCCCACCATGGCATTCCTGTCGTGATATAAACGCTTTCCAGCAAAGATTCTACTAATCCAGGTGGTGTCCAATGTGATAATCCCATGCTTTGAAGGTCTCCAATTTTAGTCACGTCTTGAGCAACTCCGGCAACTGTGCCATTTCTTCTTCTGAATTGAATATTCGCTGCTGGCGAGATACCCAAAACTACGCGGCTGTTTGCCAATCTTACTTTCGATCCGATCAAGAACATCTAGAGGAAAATCTGGTATGGAGTTACAAAAAGAGTTTGATCTGAACAAGTTAAAGTTGCGCCATGTGTTGATACACTAGGGTCTAAGATATCTCTGCATTTGCTTGCACTTGGAGTATGGTAAACATTAAGAAGATGCAACAATCTCAAAATTTCCAAAGCTGAACAAAACCGCTGCAAAAACAAATTTTGAATAACTTGCCGCTGTGGCGCAGCCGTTAGCGCGTCTGACTTCGGTCAAACGAGTCTTCAGAAGGTCGTCGGTTCAAATCCGGCCTGCGGTGTTTTTGGTCTGAGTAACTTTTTGTTGCGCTCCTTGCTTGTTAACCTTCTTCAATTGTATCACTAGTATCTTTGCATTCCTTAGGTAAGACTGAATTGCATTTTAAATATTCTGTATTGTATAGTGCTGCCCGTTTTACATCATTTTTCCGAATCCGCATCACAAAGATAAGGTTCGCGCCCTAGACAAGATCATAGCTTCGATTGTCGATCGTCCAATTTTCCATTCCGTTAAAATTTTTCTCGTAATCTAATTGCCAATACGTAAACATTTCACAAGCCAGGCGATCTGGTTCTACAAGAAGTTATTTATAGAATGGAAAAGGGCAGTTTGTCGAGAAAAAGTACCAACTCTAAGGGATCAATTGCATCTATATTATCGCACGATGATGGACTTCCGGAGGTGGATGATATGGAAGAAGAGGATAATGATTCAGTTTATGCGCCGACACAAGCTGTTCGCCCCGCGACGAATGCAAGGCAACAGGTGCCATGGTCTGTGGATAGTGGATTAAGCGCATTAGCGGAAGCAACGGAGGCCGTGCATCGAAATAGCGACGGCGGATTAAGTACTTCAGCTTATTCTCTCAGACATAGACTGAATACATTGCCAGGATTACCACGCATTGACGGACATGATTCTGATTCTGAAGATTTGGTCGAAAGTTCACAAAGCATCGTTTCCACCGATGAACGCGCCACATCGATGAGGGCCTTGGGCCCCGATGCATCATCGCTAGTGTTTTTGCCGGGGAAGAAACAATTTCACTTGTTCATTCAACAACAGCCTGTTCATGTAAGGAAATGTTCCGTAACTGAGAAAGACAAGAAGGTTATTGACCCTCCTCCCATTGTACGCGTAAGAGTTTCTGATGAAAATGGAAAGTTCTATGAATGGTATGATTTTGTTGGTGTTTTGAACAACTAAACTAATTGCTTTTGTAGTCATAATCTTTCAAACTCTGCTTATTTGGTCATGACTGCGTCAATTTTGGAAGTTATTGATGATCAAGAGGTCGTCGATATGCCTCAAGATGAGCAAGCTTCCGTGTTACTTGGGACAAAAACTGTGGTGGGATATCCGTTATACGATGAGGATGGACGCCCTGGTTTATTCTTCATCTTCTCAGATTTATCGTGTTCCAAAAAGGGAATATTTTACTTGAAGTTTGTACTCTACGACATCACTAGGTAAATATTTATTTAAATCTTACAATTCCTTTAATGTCTTAGCCACTTTCAATTGGACACACTTATGCGCCAGAACTCTCAAGTCCAATGCTCGGATGAAATGAAGGAACAATGTTCAATAATCTCCTCCGAGTTCACTTGCTTCGGCAAGGCTCAATTTCCTGGTACTAAAGAATCTACTTCTCTAACAAAGAATTTTGCCAGCCAAGGCATAAGACTGCCGATCAGGAACAATACAGGTGGTCAAGCTAACTAAGTCTGCCTTAAAGGGTATGGCATTACGAAAATACACTCAACAATACGTGAAACATTTCACTACAATTACTATTCATGCGAAATAAAAGACTGCGTTCGTATCTACGTTCTGCTTTTGAAACTGGGTTTTTTACGCAGCGACGAATTGATGGCTACGAAAGGTGCACACAAGCGATTATTAAAAGAATACGCAGCAATTCAGCAGTCACCGCCGCCTTTTATAATTGCTAAGCCAAATGAAAAGAACATATTGGAATGGCACTATGTGATCAGTGGACCACCAGATTCGCCATATCACAATGGAGAATATCATGGAAAACTGGTATTTCCGTCACAGTATCCATTTGCCCCACCTTCAATTTGCATGATAACACCGAATGGGCGCTTTAAGCCTTCGACTAAACTCTGTCTGAGTATGTCTGACTTCCACCCAGGTAACGCTTTGCATAGCTCTTCATTCGTTTAATTTATAGAAAACTGGAACCCTGCCTGGAGTGTTGCATCGATACTTACTGGCCTATTATCATTCATGCTGGAGAATACTGAAACCACAGGAAGTATCACAACAACTGAGAGTGAACGGAAGACGCTCGCAAAAAAGTCACGACGTTACAACAGGGAACAGAACCCAAAGTTCGTTGAAATGTTTCCGGACTTGGCCAGAGAGTCTAAAGAGCTTCCTGATGATATCGGGAAACCAAAGGCAAAGGAGGAATCTAGGAAGTCGTCGCAGCCAAAAGATGCTCTAGACGGCGATATAATTATTAATGAGGTTAGACATTTCGTAAACAGCGGAGGATTTCGAATGTTCGTTGGTGGCGTTCTTGTCTATTTTGTGATATCATACCTTTTGAATACAGTGCAATAGATCATGCGTTATTTTCTTGTAACAGGAGCCAATAGGTAGCCTGCTTTCCGGATGTAGGATAGTCTTTAACTTTTACCAATTAGTGGTGTCGGGTTTGGTTTACTGGAGTCTATAATGGGTGCGTACAATGAGGACTCTAGCATAGAAGATGATCCTTTGACTCTGATTTTGGC